GACTCTAATGTACTTATCTTCTTGCTCAGTTGTGCAACGCGGCCTCCCACTTCTTTTTCTGCTCTGGTTAGAGCCTGTCACAGGCACATTAGCCATGTATAGAGTATATTTCTTTAAAGTTAAGACTAGTTTAAAGTTATCTTAATTGAAAAGTACAGTGCTTTTCCTTCAAAAACAAGGACATTTCAATGTGACCCCAAACTTTTGAACGGCAGTGTATCTCTATTCTAATTGATTCCCTTTCCACATTTTTCATTCCATCAAATCTATTCATTCTTACTGCAGTTGGTGATTTCTCCTTGGAAGCTGTAGCTTGACCTGGTTTTGTGTGTAACGTTATCAGTTCGGACTCTTGCATCGGCGATGCCATAGCGTGAATCAAGCTCAATTCCCATTAGACTCAGGTCAGTGCAACAATTTTCTGCAGGACTTGAAGGAGGGCAGAGAATGAAGCTTTCTTTCTCAACCTAATAAATAATATAAGAAAAAGAAAGTAAATACCAAAAATTGAAAACAGCAATTTAGAAACATCTCCTTACATTCAAGATCCCAAGCAAAAATATTAGGAATGGTAAATTCACCTCAAGCGTGAGCTGGTCCAGCAGAGGCTCCCAGTACAAACAGAAGTCTAGATCCTCTTCTGGATACTTCATGAGAGGAATCACTTCCATCCTTTTACACTTAGCTGTGACGCTTCCTTTGACAGACAAAGAGCTCTCGTTGGCTGAAACAGTGATGCCAGAGCAGCCCTTGGATACGCTGATGTTCAGACTCAGGTTGGAGTTGTCGTGTCGCCATTTGCCGCAAAACTCCAGGAAAAGGTCATGTTCATCTGAAGCTGCTAAAATAAAGCAGGTGTTGATTAGAAGCTCAAACCGTCATGATGCACAAAAAGTGCTTCATTCCTATTCAATCACTTTCAGACAAGCAGTTTGTGTAAAAGATTTTTTAATAAAAAAAATGACCAAAACATTTACTGTAGTAGATCAGACAAGTCAGAGAGTTACCAAGGTTCTTTTCCTCAGAATACAACAAAATTATCAATACAGGAACTATTTTCGACACTGCGTGGAAAATAATGTCGCAAACACCAACGAAAAGCAGGAAATATTAGAAGAAAAAAAAATAAACAGAAGATAATTTGGCCTTAGTCCGATCCGAACCCCCCACCCTCCTACAGGGCTTGGTCATTTCTAAACATCTCTGTAACAAGCGTGAACTCTTATATAAGGAACAAGAGTTCATTTAGCAGATGACTTTAGTTGTCTGTGATGTGCTGACCCTTAAAATACTCCTTCCACCATTGAAAACAGCTCCGAGGTCAAAAAGAAACCTCCTGTATCAGCAGAGCTGACTCAGAGCATGTGAAAGCCACCACACCTTCTACACAAAATAAGCTCAGATTGGAAGATTTCTTTCACAAATCCTTCTTTTCTTGAAAAAAT